AAATGCATCATCATCCATGAATTCATCACAATATCATCAAGTCATCATAATAAACCAGACAACATCATAATATCATCATATCATTATCATGCCATCATAATAAACAAAGCATCATTGAAATTCATCACGGGGAAACCTAACTCTATCCTAACTTAGGTATTATCATTGTAATCCAACACAAAAATCCTAACTTCATTCTAACTTAGGTATTTTAAATATCCTCTTTATTCCTTATTTCATTCCATCAAACTAAATTTCATTTCATTAGCTATCCAATGCTTCAAACGACACCTCAATCTGAGTTCTAAAACTCAAGTTATGGCACTTTTAAGAAAATCCAACACAATAATTCAATTCTACTATCCATCGCCCGACGACACACCTCTGTCACCTGGAGACGCACCCATCGCGTCTTGCATCGCCCGGAGACGCGATCCAGTAGCGTCTTTTTTTCCACACTTCCATCGCGCATTGGCTCGCCCGGCGATGATCACGCGCTCACATCATCACCCGACGATGCATCTCATTGCCCGACGACGCACACCAATTCACGATTCTTCTTCTGCGATTATGCACCGATCATTCCCAAATTTGTGTGTGATTTTACACCGATTGAGACCCAAAACTCATCTAAATCATCATGGTTTCACAATATCACAATAGCACATCATAGTAAACATCATATACATAATTTCTTATCATTATAACACCAATTTATCACCAATTGCAACACAATTTCATCACAATACATCATATTCATCAAATCACCAAAACCCACACAACCTACAGTCATCTAGACAGATTAATTATAATAACAACGATAAACACCCCCTTACCTCATATTATAGCAGTAAATTTAATTCATGTTGGTGTTCTATCATAAAAATCCCCTTGCCTCTATATGCCTTAGCTTTGCCTTTGTCTCTTCCTCTAAAAACTATCGTAAAGAATAAGCGTTTCTCATATTACAATTGCCTTTTGTCTGACTTAACCCATGGACCCTTAATTCGTTTTTCCATTATTTCCCTCACTTATTCTTCTCAAATGGCCACCATGTCCTTATTTTATCTACATCAATTATTCTATTTCTTTAATTAATAATAATTCTAAATAATTAAAATTAATTATCTAAAATTACTAAAATACTCTAGCATCTCTTAATTCACCACTGCCCCATCACACACCATACAAATCTTCATATTAAGCACCACATTCATCTCAACATCATAATATACTTCATATTCATATAAACATCACAAATCATCACGAGGACTCACATAGAAACACCAAAATATCATATATATATATATATATATATATATATATATATATATATATATATATATATATATATATATATATATATATATATATATATATATATATATATATATATATATATATATATATATATATATATATATATATATATATATATATATATATATATATATATATATATATATATATATATATCAAATACTTCACAATGACTTGTATATTCACGCTAAATCAATTAAATAAATAATTAATCTAGAATTCGGGGCGTTAAAACTCTCCCCCACTTAAAATAATTTTCGCCCTTAAAAATTATTTGACGGAAACAACATTGGATAAGACTCTTTCATCTGATCCCCGTCTTACCAAGTCCAACTCTCACCAGCTAGTCCACCCCACAATACCTTCACCAAGGCAATCTCTTTTTCTCACAATTGCTTCACTTCCCGGTCTTCTATTTGCAATGGTAATGCTTCAACAGTCCAGTTATCTCTCACATGTACATCATCCATTTGTATCACATGCGAAGGATCCGGAATATACTTTCTCAATTGAGACACATGAAACACGTCACGTAGATTCGCGACTGACAGCGACAAAGTAACCTAATAAGCCACTTCACCTATCTTCTCTAATATCCGATACATGCCAACAAAATGCGACGTAAGCTTTATTGACTTTAAATATCTACCAACACCAGTCATCGGAGTAACCCTCAAAAATACATGATCATCTTTTTGAAATTCTATATCCTTCCTCCTCTTATCATGGTAACTCTTCTGATGACTCTGAGAAGCTCTCATCTTCTCTTGGATCATCTTTATATTCACAATTGTCTCTTGTACAACCTCAGGTCCGAGCACAACACTCTCGCCTGACTCATACCAACATAATAGAGTCATATACCTCCTATCATACAACGCTTTGTATGGTGTGATTCCAATACTAGAATGGAAACTATTATTGTATGTAAATTAAATTAGCGGAAAATGGTTGTCCCAAGAACCTCCTTGATCCAACACACAAGCCCTCAACAAATCCTCCAAAGAATGGATAGTCCTCTCTTGTACATGTGTTTCTGACTTTTCATCTGTTCTCTCATCAGATTCAGGACGAGACCTTTCCCAATTCCAAACTTTTTATTCTTTTACAATGACGTCTCTGCTGAACTCAACTTTGTTAGTTTTTGGACAATAAAGTTTGTACGAACTTGTACTGTGGTATCCCGCCAACAACATCCCTTTACTTCTATTAGCCAACTTCTGTCTTCTGGCTTCTGGGACATATTTGTAACATACATAACCAAACACCTTCAGATGACTAACACTTTGCTTATCTCCAGTCCACTTATGAATAGGAACTATTTCCTTCAATTTCTTAGTTGGACATCTGTTGAGCACATAACATGCAGTTTCCACAGCTTCTCCCCACAGAGTATGAGGAAGCTTCTTCTCTTTCAGCATGCTTCTCACCATATTAAGCAAAGTACTGTTTCTTCTTTCAACAAGACCATTGTGTTGAGGAGTATAGGGAGCAGTAACCTCATGCTCAATTTCATTCTCCTCACAGAAACTTCTGAATTGTGTGGAGTTATACTCACCACCACCATTATTTCTAAGAATCTTCAGAGTCTTACCACTCTGATTCTCAGCCTTCAGTCTGAACTTCTTGAATTCAGCAAACACCTTGTGTTTGAACTTTATGAGAGATACCCATGTCATTCTGGTGAACTCATCAACAAATGACACAAAATATTTATTCCCTCCAGTTGATGCTACTGTAAAAGGACCGCACACATCAGAATGTATTACTCTCAAGGCATGTTTTGCTCTTGGAGCTACTTCTGATGTAAATGGTAATCTTGGTTGCTTCCCTTCCATGCACACCTTGCATGAATTTTCAGGCTTCTTGATTGTAGGAGTTCCATGTACCAGATTCTTTGATTTCAGATATCCTAAACTTCTGAAATTCAGATGACCAAATCTTCTATGCCACAGCTCACTCTCCTTGACAACACTTGTTGCACTAAGACATTCAGAGTCTGCAGTTCTAACATTCACCTTGAATGTTCTGTTCCTTCCCTGTTCTGACTCCATAATCAGCTTCTGATTACAGTCATACAGCTTCAGAAGATTGTCCTTCATGGTAACTGGAAAACCTTTCTCAATCAGTTGTCCCACACTCATCAGATTGCTTTTCATGCCAGGTACATACCAAACATTCTGGATCACCGCTGCTTTCCCATTGTTTAGAATGACTCTGACATTTCACATCCCTTCTGCATTGAGGTATTTGTCATCAGCATATCTGATCTTTGTACTCTTCCCAGAGTCAAAATCAACCAACCACTTCTTGTTTCCAGTAAGATGATTTGAACACCCTGTATCCATATACTACCATTCTGATGAATTCAGATCATCAGGTTCAGAAGTCAACAATAGCACAGGTTCATCATCATACTCTCCTCTTGCTATATTTGCTTCTTCTAACTTCCTTTCTTTGTTGGACCAGCAATCTCTGACATAATGACCAAAGTTCTTGCAAAAGTAACACTGAACATTCTTCTTGTCAGACTTCTCCTTTCCCTTCTGAACATTCTTTTGCCTATTAGAGTTTGAAGCTTCTGACCTTTGACCACCATTAGTTTTCTTCCTGGCTTCTGACCAAGTCTTCTTCTGATGCTTCTTACCAGAAGTTACTTTCAGATCCTGCTGGTATACTTCCCTCTCAAAAGTTCTTGCAGTCATACGCAACTCATGCGCCTCTAGACTACTTTATAGCTCTTCAACTCTCATGGTGCTCAGATATTTGGAATGTTCAATTGCTACCACAATATAATCAAACTGAGAAGTTAAAGATCTCAAGATCTTCTCAATGATTGTTTATTCATAAAAGGTTTCTCCACAAGCTTTCATCTCATTAGTGATCAGAATCACTCTAGAGATGTACTCAGAAACCTTCTCGTTGTCTTTCATGTTGAGATTCTCATATTGCTTTTTGAGAGACTGAAGCTTCACTGATGCGTCACCACCGTAGTATATGACCAGTGTGTCCCACGCAGCCTTTGCTGTTTCAGAATCAGCAATCTTCTCAAACGCGTTTGCATCCATACAATGATGGATGTAGAACAACTCTTTCTAATCTTTCTTCCTTAGCGCCCTATGTGTTATCTTTTGTGCCCCAGTTACGTCTGCTTCTAACAGATCATAGCCATCGGTGTCAAGATCTAACACATCTTGAGAACCAAATAACACACGCATCTGGATTTTCCAACGATTCCAGTTTTTGCCATCAAATACTGGAAGCTTGGAATGAATATCGTCGCCGTTTCCGTTCATCTTCTACCTTTGAGCAATTTACACAGAGTTTCCCAAATCAATGTTTCTCAAAGCCCCAGAATCAGAATATTGTAATTCTTAATCACAATACTTCTTTTTCCCGTGGATTTCAAACCAGAGCTTTAGATATCAATTGTTGGTACACAAAGAAGAGATGAAAGACAAAAAAAATATTTACTGATAGTTTCAAAATAAAGATTTACAATGAATTACAATAACCTACTTCACTAGGCTATTTATATACAAAATTAAATCTAAAATATATATTCTAACAAAGATATAAGAAGATCTAAGATATATATCTTTTAACAAAGATATAAACAATCTAAAAGATATTCCTAAATATAAATTAATATCTAATTAATTATAAAATCTAAATTATTTCTAACAATAATAAGAGTGAGAGTTATGCTCTACCAGCTGCCCTTTGTCATCAAACTTCACCAATCCACCTTCATCATCTGTTCCAATTATATCACTATAATTTGTAAAGCATATTGTGGCAAAGTATGGAGCAGGGTGCATAGAAAAAACAAGAGTCTTAGTCCAAGATGAGTGTGCTGCTTGCATCGCCCATATCTCAATTGTATCGCTACGCACATCCATATTCCATGAACTGATAAGTCCTTCAAGTGCCAAAGAAGTATGATTAACAACATAATAATACGGCAGAGCTATCTCTGACATTCTCATTTCCTTTACATCAAAGGCAAAAATAACATCGCTTTTGGTCTCATAATTATAAACCAACCAATGAATAACCTCAGCAAGATTTTCCTTATCAGTTCCTGAGGCAGTTGAACGATCTTCTCCGACATCGTGCACAAAAAAAATGCATTCAGTGGAATCAATGATTGGTAGAATATGCTAAAGATAAACCCTAGTTAGGATTTTATTTAATTTCTCGCTCTTGCCATTAAACAGGGAAGGCTTAGCATGTGAGGCTGACTGGATAGCAGGTGCTACAACTCTAGGTAATGATTATCAGATGCGACATCTGAAATGAAAGCAGATAATAACATTTTTATCTTCTTTAAGAAAACTCTATAATGATTGGTTTTTCTTTTACGAATCTAAACACACAATTGTTTTAAAATAGTTAAAAAATCTCGGATGTTTATGCACAATAAATATTGATCTGGTGGCTTTCAAGAAAAACAAAACCTAAAATACTACAACTTGAAATTTTCTTGATAAAATCTTAGCTAAATAAAAAAGCTTAAGAATCATCATTATGTTAATATTTAGAAGGTAGAGTAAGATGCATGCTTGAATAACATGTATCAAACCAAATGTTCTAAAAAGGAAACCAAGCTGAATATTCATATCCTATAAAATACTAACTAAATCAGTGGGCATTATCAAACGTTGAAACCAGTGGATGTGAGAATTTTTTTTTGATCAGCAACTTGTATTCAAATAAGAGTATAAGGGTACTTCAACCCGATTACAAAAAAGACCCAACGAAACAAGTAAAACTAGAACAATTTAAGATAATTTATGAGACTTTTACACCATTCATAGAATTACAATGAAGCTTTCCTTTTGATCCAATAACTAGTCGCCACCAATAGTACCTTGAAATAGAATATTATTTCTACTTTTCCAGATGCACTAACCTATTGTCAACCAAATCATTCATACTCTTCTTCTACAAACCTGTTTCTTCAGCAAATCTACTATGTTCAAGAACTGGCTGCAACAATCATCCACCATGATAGCATCTATCCCTAACCACTCATGCACCTTAACCCACACTATCTTCATCATTGAACAATTATAAATTAAATGCTCAATGTCTTCTTGCTGTCTAAAACAAAATACACAAACTTTATGATGCTCATTTTGAAGTATTCCTCTCTTGACAAGTTGCATCCTAGTAGGTAATCTATCATGGAAAAGTCTCCATCAGAAAATTTTCACTTTAGATGGAACATTTGTTTCCCGCATCACTGTTAAAGCATGCTTCAAAGAAATGTTGGCTAGTTCAGCTTTCTGCCCCTATACCAGTTTCAAATAACATGATTTTACAGAAAACATTTTGTCCTTGCTATAAGGCCACACCACCACATCCTGTTGATTATCATCAAGAGATATCCCTGCCAGAATATCATCTAACTCCTGGTATTCTAACATATATGCCTCATCAAAGAAATCTTTAATAGAAAAACAGTTGTGTAGATGCCAATCCCACTTTTGATCATACCACACTCCCATATCCTTTACATTGATCCCTTTATTACTACAGACATTGAAAATGATAGGAAATTGTGATGCTAAAGTGTTATCCTTTATCCATCTAGCGAACCAAAAAGAACATCCCTTCCTTCCCCCAGTCTGACTATCACCATCTTCATGAAACCATCAGCTACCTCAAGACCACCACATGACAAAACATCTCTCCACCTTTCTTTCTCCCTTCACTGAACCACAATTTTCTATTCAACATGTCATACTTTCCAGTAATATTCCCACCCAAATAGTATTATCTTCCTTAATGAATCTCCAAAGCCACTTATTTAGCAATGCCTTGTTAAAAGACTATACATCCTTTATGCCTAATCCATCTTCTCCCTCAGCCACAGAAATTTCCTTTGCAGACTAATTATCTTATGTGTCACTTTAACTGGGATTTTGAAAAAAGAGAGTTGATATACTGGTATGCAAGTTAGCACAAAATTAATTAAGGTGATCATACCACCTATTGAGAGCAATTTGCCCTTCTAAGATGACAATTTAGCTTTCAACATTGAAATTAGGTTTCCAGAACTCACATCTTCTTGGATTTCCACCCACAGTTATGTCCAGAAATTTAACAGGTATTAAAAAAATCTTATACATACAATTTAATGTAACTTAATTTGGACGACTTTTAGATATCTGAATTACAAATTATATTCTTTATTAATATTATAAAAATATTAATAAATCATAGATTTGATATAATATATGAGAGTGACCGATTATAGTTGCAATAATAAAAAAAATAGATTATACCAAACTAATAAGTATTATTCAAAAGATAATTATCATCTAATAATAAATTTACGTAATATATCAATACTAATAAAATAAATAAATAAGTATAAAAATATATACATGCGGTTCGTTTTGGTTTGAATCGGTTTTGAATAATAAATCCGAAATCCGATCCAAACCGAGTAGTTTTCACAAAATGACATGCAAACATATCTAATAAATTTCAATTTTTTGTAGTTTTAATTTTTTTTTTTATCGGTTTACGATTTTTAATTAGATTTGTTTAGATTTAATAACCCCTAACATCCATCTTTGACCAAAACTCATATTTCTCAACATGTACCTCAAGAAATTCCAATCGTCAAGGTCATAAGCTTGAGCAAAATCAACTTTAAATAATGAGCACTCTTTGTTCTCTCTCTTAGCAAAGTCTATGATTTCATTTGACACCTGTCTTCCCAGAATCAATGTTGTTTGGTTGCTAGAGATCAATTTCCCTATCACTCTCCTAAGTCTTGAAGCCAACAAATTTTATACAACTTTGTACATACAGTCTGAGACAAATAGGTCTGTATTCTTCTATTTTCTGAGGGCTATCAACTTTAGGAATTAACGCCAGGAAAGATGAAGTCGCTTTAGGAAGTTTGTGGATGTGAGAAACGTGCTTTCAATCAACGGCAACCAAGCTATCTATGTAAACATTTACTTGAGATGACCTAACATTCCTGTCCTCATTATTAACGGTTAGTTTTATTAATCTTATCATTGATTATTGTTATAGTGTCCTCCTAGAAGTTCAAATTTGTTTACAAAAGATGGAGGGAGTAATTGTCATGGCTCAAAAAGTATAAAAATAGAAAAAAAATCTTATATTTTACTCTATTTAAAGCAAAACTAACTTTTAAAAAAAAATTAACAGTCTCAACAAAAATTAATGTTAAATTAAGTTAATACTGCTTCTCCAGAAGTATCAGTAAGTCTCGGGTCAGCTTGTCAACTTTCATAAATCTGAAGTGTCGTTTAGTAGGAATATTAGTCAGGAGGTGAGAAGTTTGATCTGCAACCGATTGGGATTCTAAGGTGTGGTTAGTCATTCTAAATACACGGGTTTTCCGGTTGTCTTCGGAAGATCCAAGAAAGAAGTGTTTTCTCTTGTAGTGGAGCATGTTTGGAAGAAATTAAAAGGATGGAAGGAAAAATTCCTCTTTAGAGCGGAAAAAGAAGTTCTGATCAAAGCGGTGGCTCAAGCTATTCCTACGAATGTTATGAGCTGTTTCAAATTACCAGAAGGAATTTGCAATGAGATTAAATCAATGATGACAAAGTTCTGGTGGGGATCCAACAGCGATACCAGGAAAGTTCATTGGATGAGTTGGGATAGACTGTTAGTGGTGAAAAGTTTTCGGGGTATGGGGTTCCGTGGTATAAGTGACTTTAATTTGAGTCTTTTGGGGAAGCAGTGCTGGAGATTGATGCAGGGAGGGGACTCTCTTTTTATGAAACTTTTCAAAGGAAAGTATTTCCCAAGGAGTGATGTGGTGAATGTCAAACTGGGTGATACGAGTTCAGAGCCCCCTTCAAACCAAAATTCTGCTATTGGGCCTAATGAGGTTGGAGGCCCAGTGTTGAGAAAGAGTCAAAGGGCTAGAAAGCAACTCATTTGGATGCAAGACTTTGCCTAAGTGAAATTTCTACAGTGCTGTTGTCACTTTCTGTTTTACTTTTTACCTTTTCATTTTAATTATGTACTAGAAGCTTCCACTTGTATTGATCATGTAGCAGCTGTCATGTGATCCAGAAATCTAGGGAATTTGTTAGAATGATTTTCATTTCCTTATAACCATCTTTTACATGAATGAAAGGTAGCCAAAAATTTCTCCCAATTTTACATTGGATTCTAACCTCTTTCTTCTTTTCTGGAGTTGCTCTAACTCGAATAGAGCCGATAGGTTAATACACTATCATTTTGGTGCTTTCATTCACCATGCCTTGCGGCGATTCTCCTGAAATAACACCAGAAGATGTGTTAGCTCAGATGAAAGAAATGCAACTGGCTTTTGAACGACAATATACAGTAATGGCAACCGAAATTGTATCTCTCCGAGAGCAAGTCGTTAACCACAAACCTTCAGGTAGTGGTTCCGTCCCTCCCACTCTTGTTCCCAAAGCGGCCAAGGTACAATTGTCTCTGTTTGATGGTTCCAACCCTCTTGAGTGGATATTTCAAGCAGAACAGTATTTCGACCTCACGAACACGCCAAACACTCAAAGGCTCGCCTTGGTTTCGTTCTTCATGCAAGGCCCAGCTCTTGGGTGGTTCAAATGGATTCACTCCACTCAACAACTCTCGACGTGGTCGGTTTTCACTCGCGCGTTAGAGTTACGTTTTGGCCCTTCCTCTTATGTTAATCATCAAGCAGCATTGTTTAAGCTCTGTCAAGTCGGCACCGTCACGGAGTACCAACTACAATTTGAGACGATTTCCAATCAGGTGTTGGTTCTTTCAACCGAATCTTTGCTTAATTGTTTCATTTCAGGGTTACGTGCCGACATTCAACGTGAGCTTGCAATTTTGCAACGTCACTCCATTACTCAAGCAATTGGGTTGGCGAAGTTGGTTAAGGCAAAAATTCTAGATTCTAAACCTTCTTATGCAAGACCGCCACTAAGTGCCAGCTCTCCCTCGTTGCTTGGTCCTGCAGGAAACCCTCTGCCGTCTTCTATACCTATTTTCCGGTTATCCCCTACTGAAATGCAAGAGCGACGTAGCAGATGGATTTGTTTTAATTGCGATGACAAGTTCAGCCCTGGTCACCGTTGTCAGAAAAAGCAATTTCTTCTGCTTTTGGCGGAGGAGGAGTCGCCTCCAGAGCCATCAACTCTGCTTCAGTTAGACTCTGCGTTGCTCGATCAACAGGTTGAACCTGTTGCTATACCGGTGGTGGAGGAACTGAATCAGAGTGCTGAACACTTTCAGCTTTCCCGGGCAGCGCTATTAGGTCCACCCTCTCCAAAAACTCTGTGTGTGAATGGTAACATTAAGGATTAGGGGTTACAATTCTAATTGATTCAGGAAGCTCTCACAACATTATGTAACCCAGGATTGCTGAGTTTTTAGGCATTCCAGTTGTGGCACTGTTGGCTGGAGATTTTGATGATATAGTTCGAAACGAAGCAAGTTGGATGTTTCGTTGGAATAAAGCAAGATGTTACAGTTCGGAATGGTAGAAGCAGTTCTTCGAACGAACATGTCAAAGCTCGGAGCTTCGAGTGACAGTTGTGAAGATATATTTAAAAGAAGCCTCGAAGTGGTAACGAGACTGTGTCTAAGAAATGAGTTCAAAGCGAAGAGTGCTAAAACATTTGAAATTCAAACGCAAGCGAGATGTTCGAAATTTAAATATATATGCGCTGGAGCGTTCGGAGACGCGTGGAAGCTAGAGAGGAGCAGTGCTCTGCATGTTCTGAACATGGCAGAATCTTATAGACAAGACCGTTATGGTCGAAGTAGTATAAATAGAAGTCTTAGCGTTAGGATTTCGTGTGTCATATCTATTGTACAAAATTCAGTAAACATTCAAAATACCACATGGCTAGGGAAACGAATGCTCGAACAATGTACGTATGATAACACCAAATATTTATAATTCAGTAAAACTCTTTATCTTTTCCAGTTTATCTTTTATATTCATGTCACTGTCATTCAACACCTTTACATTCAAAGTCATTTATTTGTTTCTTGCATTTAAACGCTTTCCTTCTATTTCGAATCTTTCACATTCCAGAAACTCTTTTACATTTCATGCTTTTATATTCATGCTTTTTCATTAAAGTCTTTACATTCAAAGTCATTTACTTGTTTCCTGCATTTAAACGTTTCTTCTATTTGAATCCTTTACATTTCAGAAACTCTTTTATATTCACCCTTTACATTTCTTTGCAATCGAATCTTTATTCATAATTCAGTTTCGTATGTTTTCACTTGATTATGTCATTAGACCCGTTTAATATGGTAATCGAAGTGATTTGAACCCCTATAAAACATTCCAAATACAAATCCTAACTATGAATATCAGATTTACAATTAGAGTTATCCAAACGACCAATACCCCATAGGATCAATCTAGTCGATCCTGCAAGTTACTAGAGAGATTAAATAACAGTCATTAAGATTATTTGATAGTTTGGAGGACTAGCGGTTGTTTACCAGAAATCACTGTAAACAAATTGGCACACCTGGTGGGACCGTCATTGGTCGTTACGAAATTTAGAAGAAAGTAAAGATTGTTAGGATATAATCATTGTAAAAGTGCTTTCTGAGTGATAAGTTCGTTGTTATATGAACCTTAGAAGTGGTAGAATAACTAATAGCAACCAACCCTTACCCAGAAGAAAACGTTTAAACAAGATGTCTAATCCAGACAATCAACAAGGGGAACAAAATATCCCACATGGAACAGGCACTAATATGTCCACTTCAACGGGAACGTCTAATGCGATCCCTTCGAATGCACAATTTGTTGCATCTTCTACCAGTAGTGTAGCCACAAATGGAACAAGTGGCATGTCGACTAACAGTTCGATCCTGGGAAATACAGGAACCATTGGTTATCCTGGGGGATTCGTCCCACCATCAGGGACACAAACCCATTTCGCCACCCCAATAACTAGACCACCCGGTTTCGATGCTAACAGACACAGAAATTCCTCTTATGGGATGCCAACATCTTTTATGGCGGGTCTGCACACTTCGACATCGAACACGTCACCACAATTAGGGTCTGGGTCTGGGGCAAATCAATTTATGACAAATAACCAAGGGTCAGTAGGCTATAGTGCAATGCCTATCTTAACCACAGAAAATCAGTTGGCCTTTAGACAATTAATGGATGATAGTAACTGTGATACGGTGGGAGAACTGACTAGTATTTTGCGTTTGTATTCGCACTTGTTCGGTTGAGCAAGAGTCGCCACCGACTTTTTATTTTATCCTAAAGGAAAGGTTAAAAAAGCACAGCAAAAACCTTTTGAGATATTTCGTGGGTTCGGGGGGTAGATTATGAAAAGGGAAGGTATTAGCACCCTTTTCATCCATGGTTATCCATGGGCTCTTAGTTACTTGGTTTTTAGATCACTTGCCTTGTTTTTTCGATTGCTTTGAAAATGGTGTGTGTGTGGGTGCTTTTTGAAAATGTTTTGGAAAAAGATGCCTTGTCTTAGGCAACTAATGTATTTGACTCGTGTTTGAGTGTTTTACAAAAGTGTGAATCTTTTCGAAAAGATGTTTTCAAATGTTTTTAAGAGTTTGTTTGAAAGTGTTGCGGATTGTGGTTTTTGAAAAGAAGGCAAGTGTTTTTGCAAGTTTGATCTCAAGTAACTAAGAGTTTTTTGTCTACCCTATTGTACTCAAAGGTTTTTTGTCATGTTTTAACCCCTTTTAACAATTTTGTTCTACCATTGAAATTGGTAGACAATCTTGCGTTTAGGAAGTTTATTCGGGACGGGCGCGGGTCATCGTATGGACCATGAATGCAATGGTGCCAAGTGTCTTTGGCAACTTGCTTGAAGGGACTTGATCATTTTTGATAGGCGACTTTCGAAAGCGTCATCGAGGGACTTATGATCATTTGATTTGTTTTGCCAAAGATACCCGACGTGCAAGCATGGCCCATTTTGGAAGGCAACATGTGGGATTACCCTAGGGGGTGCGAGTGTGATTGTGTATTGATTACATGTATTTGTCTTGTATTAGGTTATCTAGCGTTTGATTTTATGTACATACAAACCCTAGGTCTAACCATGGTATAATTTGGAAAGCTGTAAATTGCGGAATGTAAATCTACGCTATTACAAAATAGTATCAGGGAGTGGGGATATAAATATACAAGGGGATGAGACTTATAGTATTTACAACCAAATCGAATGTGCGATCAATATGTAAATATCAAATATACAAATATAAGATAAAATGTGTATAAGGCAATGTATTGTGTAAGTGTAAATGTGAGATGTATATGTATATGAATTGTGTAATTATGTACAAGTGCGAAGTGTGAAGTTGAATCATATTAGGGTTTGGCCTAGAGAAATGTTTTTAAATGTATTTGATTTTTGTATGTTTAATTATGTACAAAAGAAAAGAAGTGTTTTGTTTAAATGTTAAGTTTTTAATTGGAAAGTATTTTAGTCCAAGTGCTTGTGAATTTCGATATTTAGAAAATAAATGTATTTGAATGGGTATGTATGAAAAAAGAATGTTAATTAAAAGAGTTTCAATTCTAATTGTGTATAAAAATGTACAAAATGTATTTAAAAAAAGTATTTTCAATTATGTATAAAAAAAAGGAAAGATAATATATACAAATTAATGTTTTAAAATGTATGTACAAAAAGTATTAAATTATGTCCAAAATTAAATTAGGTCCAAAATTAAATTATGTGTGTTAAGAAAGGTATTTTATTTTTATGTACAAATATAATTTAAAAAAAGACATTTTAACTTATATGATAGAAAATGTATTAAATTAGTATTTTACAAATAATAAAAAACATTGTTTATAAAATAAAGTTAGTAGATATTGTTTTTTACAAATAAATAAAAAGGTTAGTGTTAAGAAAAAGAAGTAAATATAAAATAAAGAAAAGAAAGGTTTAGTGTTTTAAGTTATGATCTTAATGGGCTTAGGATAATTAGGAACAGATTAAGCCCACGTTTGGATTTTGAACGAAATTAGGGTTAGGCATTGTTTCAGTTTGGAACGAAGGCTAGGGCTTGTGAGGCAGCGACGGCGCGTTGAGTTTCGTCTTCTCCGTTCAATTTCCTGAGCCATCCATCCCTCCGGCCACCAACATCACTCTCGAACCTCTCTTCCCTCCCTAGCACGGTCTCCACATCTTCTTGAAACAAGGTTGGTTCTTAGATGTTATATTTTCCTCTTCTCTAACTGGATTCGCGTGGAATTTGTTCTGAGCTCTTTATTTTTTCGTTTTTTATGAGGTGAAGGAGAAGGGATAGAAGGCTCGTTACCTGATTTTGAAGATGGAGGAGAGAAGAAGGGGTGATGCTTCAGGAGGCCGGAACGGCGGTGATGGAGCTTGCTTGGATGAACCTTGGAGCTTCCCTGGTACTTTCGTTCCTTTGCCTATGATTTGTTTCTGTTTCTCCTTCTCTCGTGTTGCCTTGATATCTTTATCTCTTCCACTTTCGTGTTGCCTTTGGGAATCTGCCTATGTTGTTGCCTACATTGATTTGCTCTCTTCTTCGTCCTATGAGGAATCCAGGATTCTGAGGACTTGTATCTAGTATGCTTGAGTATATTGTTGGATGCGTCTTTCTGATTGGCCTATGATGAAGCCCCCCTTCTGAGGCCTAAGGTGGGTTTGGGAGATTTGGATATGTTTGAGAGATTATGCGTTTGATAAATTGTGAGGCCTGCTTGGGTTAGGCCTATGATGAACGTTTTACTGAGGCCTGGAGGGTTGGTGTTGGTCCAGGAAGGTTCATACTTCAGGTTTGATGCTATCCCTTGGTAATGGTTCACTGATGCAACCTTTTATGGTGAGGCTTTTGATTTTGTTTATCAGGTTTGTGTGTTTAGCATGAAGGTTGAGGCAGGATGTTCTGAGTTTGTATGACAGGGTATTCTGAGTTTTGGTTATCAGTTTTTTTTGGGTGTTTGAAGGTTTGGGACAGTTTTAGGGTTATGACATGGTATTGGTTTTGGTAGTGAAGATTATTGTTGTTTGGAGGTTTAAACTTTGACAGGTTCAGTAGTCTTTGAGTTGAGGCTCATGCTGGTTTTTTTTGTATGGTTATGCTTCAGTGTGGATGTTAGGCAGGTTTTGTTTCTTTGACAGTAGTGAGGTCCCTTGACTTGTTCAGTTTTTGTATCTTTTCTCTCTTGCTATGCTGAACTGTTTTATATATTTTCTATCTTTTCTATCTCCTCACCCTTTTCTATTGAACTGCTATGCTGAACTGTTTTATTGGCTTCTTCCTATCGGTTTTCTTTTGGCGCCCAATCTTTTTTTCAAAACTTTGGTCTTCTC